GAGCACTATTTCCAATTTCATTTACTTTAAATTTTTGCTGTTTTGTCACCTCAGTTTTTAAAAAGAAAGAAATAAAGAGGGCCCAATGCAATGGCTTAGTGGCTAAATCCTTGCCTTGCATGCACTGGGGTCCCTCTTGTAGAAGAGGCCTTGTTTCTCTACTCACTATCATGGGACGATCTCACCAGCTACTGAAAGGGTGAGTGGCTTGATCTTGAATTTCCTGGTCTCCAGAACTCAACAAAATAAATGTTTGTGAATAACTGTCTCAAACACTGAATTGTCAACTTTGTGTTTTCATTTGAAAAGCACAGAGACAGGACAGATAGAAAGTAATTTTCCATCTGCTCGTCCACTCCACAAATGCTCGCAAGAGCTGGGTCTGATCCCAGCACAAACCGGGAGCTTGGAACCCCATCAGAGTTTTGCAGGTGGATGCAAGGCATCTAATCCTTGTGCCATCACTTGCTGCCTCCCAGGATGCAGATTAGCAGGAAGCTGGAATAAGAAGCAGAGCCAGACTCAAAATCAGGTACTCAACCCAATGTGGGCTGTGGGCATCACAAGTGCCATATGCCCAGCTCCTGAACTCCTGTTGTTTCAGCTGCCTAGTCTATGGTCATTTGTTCAAGCAGCCCGACAGTGCTCATGAGGAAAACAGAAAATGAAAACCATAATAAGTATTGACAATATTTTAAAAACTTAGACAAATGTGGAGGAAGCAGAACTGTCATACACAGTGTAAGTGGAAATACAAATTAATACCTTCAGATGTCCAAAGAAGTTCAAAAGACGTAATGCACATATCCTGTGACCCAACGATCTGTTTTAAAAATTCATTTACTTTATTTGAAAGGCAAAGTTACATAGAAAGATACAAAATTACAGAGAGAGCTCTTCCACTTGCTGGTTCATGCCCCAGATAGCTGCAAGTCAAGGAACTTCATTCAGATCTCCCACATGGGGGGCAGGGGCCCAAGCTGCTTTCCCAGGGACATGAGCAGGGAGTCAGATTAGAAGTGGAGCAGCTGGGACTGGAACCAGTATTCATATAGGATGCCAGCATGGCGGGTGGCAGCTTAACCCACTATGCCACAACATCAGCCCCAGCAATCTGCTCCTAATAGACTCACGCAGAGATACCCATAGAGATGTATAAAGACGCAAAGCACTGGGTGTGAATGGTGTCACTATTTATAGGACAAGAACTGGAGGCAACCTACATGCTCATCGTTTGGGGAATATTTAACAATATAATTTAACTCTCATTCAACTATTAAAATCTTAAATATGGATTATTGATGTACAGGAGCCGGGAAGGTTAAAAATACAAACCGGCACCCATATGGGACCCTGGTACATGCAAAGTGAGGACCTTAGGCACTAGTCTATTTGAGCCTGGTGTCATAGCCTAGTGGCAAAAGTCCTCGACTTGCATATGCTGGGGTCCCATGTGGGTGCTGGTTCGTAGCCTGGCTGTTCCGCTTCCCATCCACCTCCCCGCCTGTGGCTTGGGAATGCAGTCAGTCGAGGACAGCCCAAAACCTTGGGTCCCTGCACCTGCACAGGACACCTGGAAGAAGCTCCTGACTCCTGGTTTCGGATCAGCTCAGTTCAGGTGGTTGCAGCCACTTAGGGAGTGAATCAGCAGACAGAAGATCTTTTTCTATTTCCTCCTCTCTGTAAATCTGCCTTTCCAATAAAAATAAATAAATCTTAAAGAATTAAAAAGTACTGTGTATTTATTTGGAAGTCAGTTACAGAGAGGGAGATACATAAGCTAGATCTTCCATTTGCTGGTTCACTCCCCACATGATCTCCACGGTCAGGGTTGGGTTAGCATCAGCACCGGGGCTGGGCCAGGCTAAGCCAGGAGTTTCATCTGGCTCTCCTCTGTGGGTGCAGGAGCTCAAGCACTTGGCTCATCTGCTTTCCCCAGGCCAGTAGCAGGAGGCTGGATCAGAAGCAGAGCTGCCGGGATGTGAACGGGCACCAATACAGATGCTGCTGCTGGCAGGCCTTCATCATCTACACCGCAAACGCCGGTCTCAGCTGATTCTCTTAGACATTTATTTTCATTTTATTTGAAAGGCAGAGACAAACTGAGAAATTACTTATACCCACTACTTTATTTCCTCGCTGCCTGCAGTGGCCAGGCCCTTTCCTGGGCCAGGGGAAAGGAGGGAGCGCGGGATTCTGAGGCATTAGCAGGAAGTGGCGTCAGGACCTCAACCCAATCACTCCGATATGGGTCGCAGGCATCCCAGGCAGCAAACTTATTGCGTCAAATGCCTACTCCAGGCTCTGGGAGAATATTTTGTAAAAGTTAAAGCTTAACTTGCTGAAGAATGAGTGAGAACGTGGTGACCTGGCATGGAGGATGAATCCCTCCTGGGGGCGAGTATTGGAATCTGCATACCTGAGACCTGGATCTCGGCACTGTCTGATCCGCCAGGCTTAAGTAACATCACGGATGTAGTTGCTTGCTCGGACGGGCTCTCATCAACACCACATGGCTTTTTTTTTTGACATTTTTTTTTTTAATTTTAAATTTTTGCTGGAAAGAGAGAGAGAAGGAAGAGACAGAAATCTTCCATTTGCTAGTTCACTTTCCAAACAGCTACAACAGCACTGGCTGGCCTGAAGTCAGGAGCCAGGAACTTCGTGTGGGTCTCCTATGGGGGTACAGGGACCGAAGGACTTGGGCCATCCTCTACTGATTTCCCAGGACATTCACTAGTAGGGGGCTGGATTGGAAGTGGAGCAGTTGGGACTCCAACCCATGTCCGTATGGTATGTTGGTACCCCAGCAGGAGCTTAACCAATTATACCACCGCATCATTCCCTTCCCACCCCAAACGCTGTCTGAATACTGATTCATAATTTTGGCCTGTGGCCACTGGGTCACTGGTTAGGTTCCTTTGGGTTTGTTTGTTTGATAGATTGGGATATGAGGGTGTTCAACCATGTTGGTCAAGGCAGTACAACCAGGGATGGCAGTGCTAGAGGTCCCTCCGTGAGCCTCCTGGATTGAGCCAGCACTGGATTTGTGCCCCTCACTCTGCTGCCCCTGTGCCCGTCTGTGTGGAGCCTCCTAGTGTAACGGCGATTGACAATAACAGTATCGGCTCACCTGGCTGTTGGGACGAGTAGAAGTAGTAATGTGTGCACGGTGGTTGTAACAGTGTCAGCAGGTTACAACACAGTGTCGATTGTGATACTAAGTGTCATGGGCGGCCCAGCGGGGTTTGGCTTCGGCAGGTGTTGTGCTGGTTGTAAAGCTAAACGAGGACGTCTAGGATAGCCTATATGTCTTCTCACTTATTATTATTATTTTGCCTTCCTTCAGTTCAACCCACCTGAAACGGCTGGCTCTTCCAATTTTGGAGGCTTATCAGTCAAGAAGTTTGCTTGACTCCACCTGTTCCAGAGCAGGCAGTGCCTCCGGGGACCCCCTGGCCGTGAACCTCCAGCCCCCAGTCCCCCACACCGGTATACAGGCTCTGGAGTGAATGAATCCTAAAAGGGCTGTCTGCTTCCAACATCACCCCAGTGCAACGCCGGGCCTGGAGCGAGAGCTCAGGGGAATCAGATACAATGAATGAATGGAGAGGGAGGCAGGCTCGCAGTCGCTCCGGCTCCGGCGCCCCAGCTCCGGCATTTCTGCATTGGAATGCAGTCATTGTCCCCTGGGTGAAGTGTATTGAAACGAAAGGGCGAATCCCGTGCCCTTCTACTGCACCCTGGTTGCCGCCTGGGTTCGAATCCCGCGACCTCGGGAGAGTGACTCGATCTCGCAGGGCCTCGATTCCCACCCTCCCTCCCCCCCCAGGGGAGAGGCGAAGAAGGAAGCTTCGATCGATCGCCAGCTACTCTCTCCGGAGCACTTGGATCCGCGGCCTGGCCCTTAGCAAGTCTTGGCTCGGGCGGTCGGGGGGACAACCGGCGTGTGAAGCAGCCACGTCGGGCACGCCCGGGGGTTGGAGATGGGCGTCCCTTTCCGATCTCCCAGGATCGCTGCCCCGCGACTGGGCCAGGGGACCGCCCACGCGGGGCAGCCAAGCAGCAGCTCCCCGGCCGCCCGCACTTCTTTCTTTTTCCCTCTCCGTCTCCCTCTCTCCTCCCTCTCTCTCTCCCCGGGCCCGGAGCTAGCGAGCCAGCCGCGCTCGGCTCAGCAGCGCCTCCCGCGAGGACACGCCGCCGCCGCCGCCGCCGCCGCCGGGCCCCTCCCCCGCCCGCCGCCCCGGCCCCCCCGCGCGGCCGGCGCCCGTCACGTGACGCGGCGCCAGCCAATGGCGAGGCGAGCCGCGGTCGGCGGCCGCCATTGCTGTCAGAGCAAGCGAGCCCGGGGAGGGAGGAGAAGCGTGAGGCTGACTGGGGAGGAGGAGGAGGAGGAGGAGGAGGAGGAGAAGGAGGGGGGGGTGGGGGAGGAAGAGGAAGGAGGGGACGTCGCTCGGCTGCCGGGGTCGCCCGCTGGCTTCGTCCGCACCCCCCCCCCTTCGCGAGTTCGCGCTCCGCCGCGGCGACTCCGTGGAGGAGGAGGAGGAGGAGGAGGAGGCGGCGGCGGCGGCTCCGGGGCTCGCCTCCCCTCACGCGCCGGCGGGGCCCGAGGGGGGGGATCGGTGGTTGGAGATAAACAAGGCGGCGGCGGCGGCGGCGGCTGAGGATCCGGGAAGGCTAGAGGAGGCGGCGGCCGGCCCCGGGAAGCAGGCGCGGCGGCGGCCCTGAGAGGCGGGGAGGGCCGGCGGCCGCGCGGACAGCGCCCCCCGCCGCCGCCGAAGAAGCCGCCGCCGCCGCCGCCGCCGCCGCCGCCGCCCGAGCAGGAAGGAGCCGCGCGGCCGCCGCCGATCCCCCCCCACCGGCGGCCCGGGCCCGCCGCCCCCGGCGCGGCGTCTCCGCGGCGCCTCCCGCCCGCCCGCCGGCCCTCCCGCCCTGCTCCTCCTCCTCCTCCCGCCGCCGCCGCCGCCGCTGCTGCCGCCGCCGCCGCTGCTGCTGCTGCTCCTCCTCCGGCCCCGGCCCCGGCCCCGACCCCGACCCGGCCACTCCGCGCTCCCCGGCCCGGCCCGGCCTCGCCTCGGACACCTCGCTCCGACATGCCCCGCTCTGGCGGCGGCCGGGCTCGCGGAGGATCATGACTGCGGCAGCGAACTGGGTGGCGAACGGGGCGAGCCTGGAGGATTGTCACTCCAACCTCTTCTCGCTGGTGAGTAGCCGGGGCCGCGGGGAGGGAGCGGCAGGCCGGGGACGCGGAGCGGTGCGGTGCGGTGCGGTGCGGTGGGTCGGTGGGTGGGGAAGGGGGGTCCCCGCCCGACCTCCGCCGCCGCCGACACCAACTTTCTCCTCCCGCCGCCGGGACTTCGCCCCTCCCTCGCCTCTCTCTCTCTCTCTCTCTCTCTCTCTCTCTCTCCTCTCTCCCCGCCGCTGCCGTTTCGCCTCTCGGCTGATTCTCACCCCCCCACCCCCCCTTTGGATCGTCTCTCTCTGGCCTTGGATCCCATCCAGTGTTTATTTGGCTCTTTAAAAAATCATTTGTGAGCGCGGCGCTCGGCGTGGAATTTGCATGTGGAAGTCTCCAAGCTGCGGATTCTGGGTCGCACTTCGAACGCCCACCCTCTGTTGCAATCACACCCCTCTTCCCCTCCCCTCTACCCCCGTCCCCCCCCCCCCCTCCTCCTTGCCGTGCCTTCCCTTCCTAAATGTGGAAGGCTTTGCCTGGTGCTGCCCGCGTCTGCGATCAGCAGTCCTTTTCCCTCCTTGGGGCTGGATCGGCCGCCCGCCTGCCTTTTGAATTTTTTTTCTTTTGATTCCACAATGACACCTGCAATTTCGCCCGAAAACAGTTAATTGAATTGCGATTGTGTGGGGAAAGGACTCTTGCTACCCCGAGCTCCGGTGCTTGTAAACACGGACCTGCCGCCCGCCTCTCGGGGCTCCCCGCGCCGGAGCCGGTGGAGTCAGGGCCCCGAGCTGTCGGGAAGGCGGAGAGAGCTTTACCTCCCTCTCCTCGGATGTCTCTTAATTTTTGTTTTTCTTTAATTCTCTCTTCTCACAACGAATACACAAATGCACACACAAAAGCAACAAGCTGGGCAGTGTGATAGCATCGCTTTTATCTGCCTTCGCCTCTTGCACTCTCGCTCTTTGATAATTGACAACTTTTCCTCTGGATTTGCATCGCCTGCCTTAATCTGGAAGCAGTTTAGGGTGTCAATTGTTCTCGTGGAAGCCCGGCACCCGACGACGGCGTCTACAGTCATTGAAATTAAAAATGTATAGGGCTCCAGCAACTCTTTCCTGGCATGCTGGTGACATTTGGTGGTAAATGCCATCTTTGCTTTTTATTGGGTCGTATTACCTAGCTCTGAAAACATTCACGTTGTTAAACCTGGCGTTTGGACTAATAATTGCAATGCGTGGTCTTTAAATATGTGCTTTGTGCATGAGTTACTGTATGTATAGCTATGTGCCCGAGAGACTACGAATTTGTTTAAATATTGAGCAAAGATTTGTAAACAGATGTAAGGCAATTATGTTTCAAGCGTAGAATATAATTGGAAAATTGGCAGAACGCTTTATTTAATTTAACCTTAAAAAAGCCCCAACTTATTTTAAGTTATATATCCAGTTTTTTTGGGGGGGGGGAGTGAGGAGGGCAGACTTTTGGAGAACATGCATGTTGGAAATTATTTTCTGTAATTCCTGCTGTAGATAGCAGCATTATTCTTAATCTTTGTTTATACTGGATAAATAATTTAGTGTTCAAATTGTAATTAGTTAGATTTAATTATGGGTGGCATAGATGCTTTTTTCCCTTTGAGGCTAGTGGAGAAATACAAAATCTTGCCAACTTTTTGAGTGGAAGTGTTATTAAATATGTTACGGCATTTGTACAGATAAATACATTGCATTTGTGGGTTTTTTTTTTTTTTTCCTACGAACACTGATACAGTGTCGCTGCTGCTACTGTGGTGTGGAATCACTTACAGTTTTTTTAACCATCAAACATTTTTATCGCGTTTAATCTTAACATTAAATTACAAGTTGCGAATCTTCCTCTCCGCACTTGTGATGGTTTCCCTTGATCTTTTCATATATGGCAATGAAACTCACTTTGCTTCTTTTCTTCCCATCAATCTATCATTTGCCCTTAGGTTGAGGAATGTTCATAGATTAGCAAATGTATTGATTAAGGAACATTAGCAATTTTTTTTTTTTTGTTGGGTGACTGGTGACCACATCGACATAGCTACAGGTAATTAAAATAACCAAGTGCACCGATAGTGGGGGGGGAGCGCCCACATGGTCCTATGTCCTGCTGACTATGAGGGCTTGTGCATGTGTGGATTCTGCCGGGGGGCGGGGGGTCTGCTGCTCCTACAGCTTGTCTCCAGGACATTCCTTTTTGAAAAAGCTTCTGTCGGCGATGATGTCTCCGATGAGATGCTGGGGGTGCTTCTGGAGAAGCTGTCCACGGAGGGGAGTCTCTGACCTCCTCAAGTAGTGTGCTGTGGGGATTGATTTCTCAGATCTCTCTACCCAGGAGTTGCTCTTGAATACAGTACTTCTTTTTAAGTATAATTGTCTTTAGAAAATTTGAACTATAAAAGTACAGGAATGTTAAGGCTTTTTTTTTTGACTTTAAAATGTACTTACATTCGCTTATACGTGGAGAGGGGATAAAGTGCAATTAAAAGAAATTCTGAATTAAACTGCTGACTTAGTGAATTTTTCTGCTTCAAAATTGAGCATTTTTCTTGAAAATCACGTACAGCAGCCACCTGGGATATCAAAAATGTTACCTAAAATACATTGCATAGAATACTTAATTCCAAAGGAGAGCTGATGGGCTCTTGTTGAAATAAAGCAACTCTTAATGTGTTTAATAATAGCTTATTTGAGAATATGGTGTTTTGGCTCAGTTTTCTTTTTATTTGTTTACTTTTGAGCAAGGTATTGTTTATATTTACCTAGGTGCTCTTGTTAGTGTAGATGGGAGTCGAAGCCAGAGAGGAAAGTGCCAGGCACAGTAAGGACCCACCCGTTTTGTCACCTGGTGGTGTTCATTATGGTTTGGCAAAAGTTGGCTGTGCAGTCAGCTGCCTTAGGATCTTTGCGAATCTTTTTTTTGTTTTGTTTTGTTTTATGATTTTTCTACTGCACAGCATCAAATTTGCTGAAATCTTTCCTCAGCCGCCTTCCCCCTTTGCCAGCGTGTGAAGAATGCCATTGTGTGTGTATGATATGGGTCATTGTATGTGTTTCTTATTCTTCACTGCTGTGAGATTTGTAGCTACTGCATTAAATGCGGGCCTGGCTGTGCCTTTGTGACTCAAAACTGTTTTCTCATGCTGTCCATCACAGCTCTGGGTGACTCTTGTTACATATTCACTCAGTTCTAATTCAGTTCAGGGTGTTAAATCTGCCTTTTTGGAAAGCTTAACAGTGCGCCCTGTGGGATAGGAACCTACCCTTGTGGAAGACATTATAATTTCCAGATGTTAAGTATGTATTTTTGTTTTCATATTGAGATAATCTGATGCAAGTGATTCTGTGACCTCTAAGTGGATTTAAGTATATGCTCTTTGACATGAGGGAGTGATCTTTAATTCTTAAATATGCTTGTTCCACGTTTATGTTGTTTTATTTGCTTAGCATCTTTCTGACTGATAATTGGGTGACGATCTCGAGTTATTGCTGAAGCACACATGTACACATTAGTACTTAATTCCTGATGAAGGTTATTAATTTTATATTTGAAGCTCTTAACGTAATCTGTTGTTGACCCGGTTTCTTTCTGTTTTAAGAGATTATTTTTTTTTTGCAGCAGGGGGAAATAGTTGTAAGCACAGAAACTTTGGAATCTATTCTTTTGTGCTAGAACTAAATGGGGAGCACCATCAAATGAAAGAAAAATGAATGAGGTCTTTACTATTCTATATTGCCAAGTATTACATACACAAGAGGTGTTTTCTCATCTCAACTTGCAATTTTAGCATTTATATTTAAAGCATCTTTTTTCATGATGATTAGTTGTAGTCAGTGAAAAGATTTATAATTTGCTAATGTGTGCTTTCTGTTCAGCATTTGTTGTTAGCAGCACATGGTGTTAGAGTATTTATATATTTTTAATGGTAATAATTGCCACCCAGTAATAGTTGCCATATTAACCTCCAATTGCTAGTAAATATTTTAAAGTACATAATAGACAGCAATTTAAGGCGTAGTGTAGCAGTTTACTGGACTGTTTTAAAAGCCATTTGTATGTGTGATGAGTTCATAATTTTAAAGAGAAAATAAGGTTCTAAGATGTGTGTGCTTAAAGATATTTCTCTGCTCCTGGGGAAGACGTGAGGTTGGGTCTGTTTCCTCCTTGTCAGGATGGACAGGGCACTGCATGTAGGGCAGTGAGGGCATTGAGTTTTTGCCAGATGTTTACGTAGCTTATCACTCTGCTTTGAAGTGTTTTAGTCATTCTTTTAGGGATATATTAGATATTTATATGAAGGAAAAAGGCTTTTAGGGCATTCCTTTGAATAACATTAAGTTCTGGTAGTGGGGTTTTATCAATTAGTTGTGGAAAAATTGATTGATCTTTTTTGTTCCCTGGCTAATTTAGCCTAGTTAATTGTGAGTTAATTGTATTCATCAAACACTTTCAATGATCTCCACTTGTGAGATTAATAAAGAAGATGCTCTGTTGCCAGTTTATATTATGCAAAAATAAGTTGTGATATTCATTAGCAAAACTGAAGTTCATGCCACAGTTCCATTTTCCAAATGATTTGAAATTGAGATGAAAGTGTTGTGTGGACAGTAATGACGTCAGATACCTGGATGTGTAGGAATGACTGATTCAGCTGTTTCTCAGAAGTTTGATTCAAGACAGACTATGTGTTTTGGGAAACGTTTTATTTGTTTTTTATAGAAGATAATAGTAATGTTCCTTTTTTTAAACAACGTGTTCCTGTGTCTCCCAAAAGTGGATGACACATTTATTTCAGAGGAGCTGGCCAGTGAGAGATTAGATGAAGCTTATGAGAATTAGTAAGATGGTTGGATATTAAATATTGAACTGTATATTGCGATCACTTATTAGAACTGGAGGAGTAAGGTTTCCACAGCATTGCTATTATTAGTTTGGTTTATTTTTGAGACACAGTGTGTACAGATTTCTTCTCAGACTCTGTATAGTGTTGGCCACCA